TATACCTTATGACTGATGATATGCCAATAAAGGTCTACGAATGAATGAATGAATGAATGAATGAATGAATGAATGAATGAATGAATGAATGAATGAATGAATGAATGAATGAATGAATGAATGAATGAATGAATGAATGAATGAATGAATGAATGAATGAATGAATGAATGAATGAATGAATGAATGAATGAATGAATGAATGAATGAATGAATGAATGAATGAATGAATGAATGAATGAATGATGAGCTTTGCCTAGCCTGGGCCATCCCGGGCAGGGCGGGCATCACCTATTGGTTGGTAGACAACCAAAAGCTTTTCACGTGCCTGCGGGCATGGGCGCTGGTTCTTAGACCCCAACGTCTCCAGGCCTGTTTGGGGCGGGCACTCCGTGTGACTTCAGCCTCTTCTCTTGCTACTGTTTCAGTCCAGTGTTTACAAGGAGGTTGAGTGAGTGTGAGCCTCCGGGCAGAAACCGGCACTCCTGTTCCACTTTAGCTGATATTCTCATTCTCTCTCTCTCTCTCCCCCCCCCCTCCCTCCGGCAGGCAGCCAGTCTTCCAGGAAGTGAGGACAGATCCTTTCCTGAGGAATCACCTGTCCGGAGCGCTGAAGACACTCGCTGCCCGCCTTCCTGTAACCGGAGCGCTCGCATCGCTGGCAGCCCGCGGAGCCAAGCGGGAGGTTATCAGCGCTGGGACAAGGAACACCCTCTCCGCCAAGACACGGGGACTATCTGATGGGATGCCCTTTGGAGCTGGGCCTCATCCCAGCGCACGGATCCTCTCCGCCATGCCAACTCAGCCCCGAGGCACACAGCTTCCGTGCACGGATGCCCAGATCGGGAAGCGTCCTTTCCCCGCACTGGAAAACACGCGCGAAAGTCGGCAAACGCCTCGCCGGGGCAGGATTTCAGTAGTCTGCCGGTTACCTCCTTGTTCTTTGTAGGCCTCTGCAGGAAACATCAGACGCGTGTATTCTCCCCACGCCTCCGGTTTCTCCCCTCTCCTCGCCCTTGTGCTGCCCGTAGAAGCTGCCAGGCCTTCTGGGCATTCCCTGCCGTCTTTCCTACTGATAGCGCACCAGGTCAGAGGGATAATTTCGGAGGGTAGCTGGTCTGCTCTGCAGCGGAAGAGAACGAGTCAAATCCAGCAGCGCCACAAGATTTTCAGGGGACGAGCTTTCGACAGCCAGAGCGCCCTTTGCCAGATACAAGCCAGAATGGAGATCTCTGCGTCCTTCCAGTCAGAAGGTGGGAGGGGGGTTGCAGAGAAAGGAAATCAGGATGTAAAGGTACAATGCAGAATGCAATCAGCTTGATTGGAGGGGGCAGAAAATATAGCATCTGTAGTGAAACAAGACTCCTTTGTCTCTATTCGGTCCTGAGTGCATGGGTGTTGTTCCGAATTTCTGAATTATTTTTAAAATTTATTTTATTTTATTAGATTTGTATCCCGCCCTCCCCGTATAGCAGGCTCAGGGGCGGGTTCCATCAATACAATATACAAACAATGTAAAACAATTTTAAAACATCAGGTAAAACACAATCGCATTCCTGTACTCCTGATCAAAGCCTCAACAATTGAGGTCTAATTCGACTTCGGGTTCCTAGATGATAACACAAATCTGACCCGCTGAGGGGAAGGCCCAATCCAGGGGGGAATGCCCGCCACCTCAACGAAAAGCCCGGCGGAAGAGCTCCGTCTTGCAGGCCCTGCGGAACTGTAAAAGGTCCAACAGGGCCCTGATCTCCTATGGGAGCTCATTCCACCAGGTAGGGGCCATGGCCGAAAAAGCCCTAGCCCTAGTCGTGGCGAGACGGTCGTCCATGGGGCCAGGGACGCCAGGGCTGAATAGGGACGTTGGATACTTGTGTAACTACAGATGCTAATGTTTTGCCCCTGAGCCTTTCCCCCTCTGCATCCTGAATTCCTTCTTTGCGACACCCCTCCCACCTTCTGACTGGGATAGGAGGACTCGGAGATCTCCGTTCCCGCTTCTATCTGACGAAGGGAGCTTTGGCTCTTGAAAATTCATTCCCCGAAATTTTCGCTGGTCCCTAAGGTGCCCCTGGACGCGAATCTAGCCATCAACGGGAGAATCCCACATGACCAGCTGCCACAATGAGCCGAAGTGTGGAAGACAGGATAGCCTCTCCTCTGCTCCCCCCAGGTTTGAATTAGAACGGCTTCAGACTCCTCAGTTCTAAAAGCAAGAATGGGTTTCGGAGTGGCTGCCCGTTCACCAGCCTCCCTCGGATAGCCTCTCCTCTGCTCCCCCCAGGTTTTAATTAGAACGGCCAACTCCTCCGCTCTAAAAGCAGGAACGGGTTTCGGAGCAGCTGCCCGTTCACCAGCCTCCCTCAGTTCAATTGAGCCATCCTAGAGAGCATGTAGGTGGTCACAGACGCAAATACTCACGTGTCCCGTTAGGGGTTGATTGTGGTTCCGTTCTGCTGACCTCCGAGACAAGGAGCTCTTTAGCCTTTTACTTTGGTGGAAGGCTTCCTGAGCCGGACCAAGCGCCGCAGTTGGTGAAGCAGATCCGCACCCTGAGTTCGAAGCTGGATTTTGGTTGTTTGGGCGTAGAGCATATGTGGACGACGATGCAGAAGAGCTCTTCTCTGTGTATATGGTCAGCCGGGGTGGGCGTCGTCGGGGCAGGCCTAGCACTCACCCTGTTTCTCTCCCCCAACCCCAATTCAGAATTTCTGCTTCTAGAATAAATTGAGCACTGGGAGACATGGTCTGCCTGATTCTCTGTGTGAGTGTGGTTTTCTGAATTAGACAGTTGAGTTTTCCAGGCTTAAGAAGCTGGACTTCAGACTCCCTCAGTAGGCCGGGGGGTTCTGAACTTCTTCGACGCGGAGAGACCACAGCAGCCACAAGGGGCTTGAACATGCTGGTGTTGGCTCGTGGAAATCCCCCGGCTCGCCCCGACCTGGATAGCCCAGAGAGGCCCGATCTCATCAGATCTCGGAAGCTAAGCAGGGTCGACTCTTGGCAAGTACTCGGATGGGAGACCTCCTTGGAATACCAGAGGTGGGAGGCGGGGGCAGGCTTTATTCAGCCACCTCTCTGAATATCCTCCAGGCCCCCAGTAGGGGTCAGTCGCCAGCGGTCGCCACGACTTCCAGGTGCACACACATGCACATGTTTAAAAAAACACACCCAAAAAAGGTCAGAAAGTCCCCAGTTCGGTGCCTGGCCTCAACTTCAGGGTCTCTTGGGTTGCAGAGCTGGGAAGAACCTTTCCGTGTCCGAGACCCTGGAAAGTCACTGCTTGTTGGAGCAGAAAGGGACTGGGGCTGAAGAATTTGGGGGGAGGGGGCCTCGGGGGGGCAGCCAGCTAATTAAATGAAAGTACAGTGCAGGTGGTAAGTTGGAGCACTTTGGGGGCAGCCCAGGAGAGGGGGCCCAGAAGAAACACTAGGGCCCCGTGGGCCCCTAATTAAATGAAAGTACAGTGCAGGTGGTAAGTTGGAGCACTTTGGGGGCAGCCCGGGTTTTCGTTGGACGCCAGAGGAAGCAAGCTATGCATGGAATGCAGGTCGAGATCAATGTGCCCTCTAAGCTGTGGAGTCTTGTGAGCAAAAATTCTCTTTTGTGAGCGACTGGCATTAAAGTTGCGAGCGGGCGATTTGGCTGCCGCATCAATCAGTTTGCTCTGGAGCCCTCCTTCCTGAGCGAAGACAAAAAATGTGTGAGCCAGAGGCTAAAAACGTGAGCTAGCTCACACTGACTCAGCTTAGAGGGAACCCTGGTTGAGACCCGAGGCGGCAAAACTTGAGACTGGTTCACACATGCGAGTACAACACTTGAGGACTGATGGCTGAATGTGTCGGCGGCCTTGAAATGGTCCCATCTGAGGCAAAGCAGTCATGATGCTGAGACCGAATAGAATAATAGAATGTTCGAGTTGGAAGTGACCTTGTAGGTCATCTAGTCCAACCCCCTGCACTCTGCAGGAGCATAGCTGAAAGATATTGCTAATTGCAAATAATTAATTATAATTAATCAATTATTAATTATATAAAATAAATAAATGATTCCAAATTGCTAAGAAGCCATCCATATTCGGTAGCTGCCCATAAGTCATGCATTCAAATATTGATAAAGTTGCAAGGTCCTGATCCGTGGATTGACAGGAGGTGGGCATTAATATCTCCAGTGTTGTGATACAGGTGTTTTAGCTGTAGCAAAGGCACAGTGATGAAGGCCGGACATCTTGAGCCCAAGCCAAGGAACCAGATGAGAAAGTAAAGGTAAAGGTTTCCCTTGCTCGAAAGCCAGTCGAATCTGACTCTAGGGTTGCGGTGCTCATCTCCGTTTCCAGTCCGAAGAGCCAGCGCTGTCCGAAGACATTTCCGTGGTCATGTGGCCAGCATGACTAAACACCAAGGCGCACGGAACGCTGTGACCTTCCCACCGAAGCAGTACCTATTTATCGACTTGCAGTATCTTGCTTTCGAACTGCTAGGTTGGCAGGTGCTGGGACCAGAGACGGGAGCTCACTCCGCCACTTGGCACTCGGGTCTCGAACTGCCAAACTACCGACCTTCCGGCCTGCAGCTCAGCGTCTTAACCACTCGAGCCACTGCAGCCCCTGAGATGAGAAAGTGCCTGTCAAAGAGGCATCCCGAAATTTGGCGTTTTGAGTGGCAGAGGTGAGGCAGTGGGTCGGCAGCCGCCGTGCTGTGACTTGACTAACTTTGGCTCGTGGGTGTGTGTGTGTGTGTGATGGTTGCAAGGGGGGGGTTGGAGAGCGGAAGGCAGCGAGCGTGGGGGGCAGGTGGGGGAGACCGCCAGCCAGGCCAGGAAGCGTCGGAGGAAGAGGGATGAGAATCGGCCCCGGAGCATCTCGTGGGAGGCGGAAGCGGTGTTCTTTTGGGAGGGGGGGGGAGCTGCAGCTGTCTCTGGAGGACCCCCAGCAAAAAAGAACACACACTCTTGCCCTTTGTAGTTTTCTTCCTGTTTTTAGAAACCCCTCTGACCACTCCAGCGCTTTCCCACGAGTGGCCTGCAGACCCCCGTTTCCTCCTTGCAGGGGAAAGCCAGGAAGCCCCTGAAAGGGCTCTCCCTCTTCCTCCGCAGCGGGGGGGGGGGCATGCCACTGAGTGACACACACACACACCCCCGCTCAGAGATAAGAACATAAGAGACGCCAATGTGGGATCAGGCCAAAGGCCCATCCAGTCCAACACTCTGTGTCACACAGTGGCCAGAAATACCAGGTGCCATCAGGAGGTCCACCAGTGGGGCCAGGGCACCAGAAGCCCTCCCACGGTTGCCCCCCCCCAAGCACCAAGATGACAGAGCATCCCTTGCCCCAGACCGAGAGTTCCTATAAGAACATAAGAGACGCCAATGTGGGATCAGGCCAAAGGCCCATCCAGTCCAACACTCTGTGTCACACAGTGGCCAGAAATACCAGGTGCCATCAGGAGGTCCACCAGTGGGGCCAGGGCACCAGAAGCCCTCCCACGGTTGCCCCCCCCCAAGCACCAAGATGACAGAGCATCCCTTGCCCCAGACCGAGAGTTCCTATAAGAACATAAGAGACGCCAATGTGGGATCAGGCCAAAGGCCCATCCAGTCCAACACTCTGTGTCACACAGTGGCCAGAAATACCAGGTGCCATCAGGAGGTCCACCAGTGGGGCCAGGGCACCAGAAGCCCTCCCACGGTTGCCCCCCCCCAAGCACCAAGATGACAGAGCATCCCTTGCCCCAGACCGAGAGTTCCTATAAGAACATAAGAGACGCCAATGTGGGATCAGGCCAAAGGCCCATCCAGTCCAACACTCTGTGTCACACAGTGGCCAGAAATACCAGGTGCCATCAGGAGGTCCACCAGTGGGGCCAGGGCACCAGAAGCCCTCCCACGGTTGCCCCCCCCCAAGCACCAAGATGACAGAGCATCCCTTGCCCCAGACCGAGAGTTCCTATAAGAACATAAGAGACGCCAATGTGGGATCAGGCCAAAGGCCCATCCAGTCCAACACTCTGTGTCACACAGTGGCCAGAAATACCAGGTGCCATCAGGAGGTCCACCAGTGGGGCCAGGGCACCAGAAGCCCTCCCACGGTTGCCCCCCCCCAAGCACCAAGATGACAGAGCATCCCTTGCCCCAGACCGAGAGTTCCTATAAGAAC